AATAATAGGTTTGAAATCATCTATTAAGTGAAAGCTACATGCATAACATGGGTATTTTAAGCAGGCTGAAGTGTGGAGTGCATCATTCAGGCAGCCCATCCTCATCATGAGTAATCATACTCATGATTATTTTTGCTCTTTCCTAACATATCTGTTTCTCAGCCTACTTGTGTATGATAACCATACCTAGATAGTACCAACAGAAAGGGCTGCCATGCTTGTACAGACTTTTGGCAGAGTACAGGTGAGGGAACAGCACATGGTTTATACCTTTAACTTCACTTTGAGCTGTGCCATGTGTAAGAGATCACTTTGTTTTCCAAGAAGTAACTCCTGTACTGGCTTATCGCATATGTAATTGCCTACAGAATATTATATACATGTTAATGTAGGACAGTATCTAATGTACCTAATTTATATACCTAGAACTCAGCATTTCAGCTATATTGAAACTTTCATCTTCTGTTTATAGTGTAATTCAAGCCTTGAGAATAAACACTCAAGCATCCTTTGTCAGTGCAGGATGGAAGATCCCTCTGGGTGCCTGCAGACATCCTTCCCCCAACACTAAGTGTCCACCTCCTTCCTTGCATGTTCTTTTACAGTAGAAGAGCAATATGCTATAAAGATACATGTCCATTCAGGATACAGTTTGTTAAGTCTTCTTTTCCATAAAGATTTCAAAACAGGGATGGTTCTTGTTAAAAAACAAAGTAGTGGTAATGATCTTGTGGCTGGAACGTTTGTCCCAGAGGATGGCTACAGGTCTAGGGTTACCTCCAGGAAATAGCTACCACTGCAGGAAAGGTCTTTAACCAATACACATCATCATATTAAAATGAGTTTGCTGTGCTTAAGACTAGTATTAATGGCCCAGGAGTCTTGAAGGCTTCAGGTAGCTGTGGCTGCCAGATCATAGCAGAGTTCTAGATGGGAGGAAAGTATATCTCCATAGGCAAAATATTTCTGAGTTCTGTTGTGATCTAATTCCAGAATCTCAGGCAGCAAAGATGGTAGATAAGGGTTAGCCACTATTGGATTTGTAAATTCTGATGAGGAGGTGAATTACACAGTGGATTTTACTGCATATAATTTACATTGCCAAATCCCAGTTTTAGAGGATTTGAGGCTGAATGATGCTTAGCTTCACATCTTTCTTCTCAGCTAACTCTTCAGCATTTTGTGGTCTTCAGTGTCACAGATCCTAAATGCTTGTTACTTCAAACAGATTCAATCAACGTAGCTGTTTCACATGTAATATGACTTCAGTGCTTCATAAGAATAGAGAAACGAGAATGGGCTAAACACTGTCCTGAAAACATACCCAACCATGTAAAAGGCAGAGAATAGATATGAATTCCAGTTTCCTTCCTCACTTCTCCCTCTGTAATGGGCCAAGCAAAAGCCTTCAATCCAAACAGCCCTGAACTGTGAGGAAATTCAGATCCAAACTCTTAGAAGCTAGGCCATTTCTAATTATTTTTATTGCCTCATTAAATTTATTATGTTGAACCATTTCTAGTGACCTCATTAACTCTCTGCAAAGAGTTTGTCACGTACAGTCCTTAACAGATGTCTGATTTCAGGCATTGAGAAGTCAGTCATCTGGCCCTTTCCCCAGCATGCATAGACCCTTAATTCTCCAATCCTATGCTCCACTTTCTTTCAAGAAGGATTTCATTTTGACGATGCTGTATTACTGGGAAGTTTGCTGCTGTCCTGTTTGGGCCAGTTTTTATGCCTTCATCCTCTAGCTATTTTCCACATACTTCTTCTCATCTGCCTTGTTTCCTTCTGCATTAATCCAGATGGGTTGTATAACAGAATTGTGCTCTCTCCTGTGGAGAATATCTTCTGGCTTCTTAAGTCAACCAGGGTTTCCAATGCCCTGTTGGGGTTAGGCTGTAAAAAACCCTCTATTATGTGTGCAGCTGGGCTCAGAGAGATTTCACTTTGTTCTTTCTTTACCCATGATTTAAATGGCTTGGATAGCATGACTATTAAATGCTGGGGTTCTGGACCACAGCCTTGAAGGATTGTCAGAGGTATTTTGAGTCACTTTGCAGCTGAGAGCAGGATGTGGGACTGACAGGATCAACAAAGAAGGAAGGAAGCTACCATGTGAACCTGAGACTCAGCCAGGTCTCCTACAACTGGCTTGCTGGGTAGGCAACATTCAGTGCCAGACATCTGGGGATGAACTGAAGTCAAGAGTCAGTTTTGGAAGAGCATGTGGATTCTGCAGCCATTCCTGTTCCCAGATAAAGAGACTCAGACATTGCCCCATCAGGTTACATCCCGTACATTGCTGTAAGAACAGCTATGCACAGGCAGACCAATGGTTCATCCCTCTGTTCAAAGTCGGTGTACACTGAATGGTCTAAGGAGCATATGTAGGGAAATTCCCACAGAATACCCCTCAGGTTTTGGCATGATATAGTTCAGGGGACTTCCTATATTGGAGTACTTAACATTTCTTGATAGATTTGAGCTTTTTCCCCTCAAAACCCCACTTCTTGAGCTCTTGTAAACCTTTACTTTCCATAAGTTCCTGTGGCAAGCATTTCCACAGCTTAACTACATGCTTTATGGGGGTTGGAATTAGATGATCTTAAGGTCTTTTCCAATGCAAACCATTCTGAGATTTTATCAAGAGCCACCTTTTTTTCACTTTTTCAAACTTTGTCTTCAGCTTTCCAGTTCGTTCTGTTCTGTTCTTATGTTGGAAGAGAGTGCATAATCATTTTGGTTTTACCTTCTGCAGGCCAGTCATGATTTGACAGACATCTAGTCCCCTTCTCAGTCATCTCTTTTCATGTTGCTCCTGTATCAATTCGACATCTTCTGGTAGGCTGAGAACTGTAACAGGCTGGATGAAGATCAGGAAGATTCTTCTGCAGTTTCAGAGGGGAAGGAGAAACAGGAGTTGGGGAGGAACATGGACAGCAGTGATTAGATTACATGTTTTGTTGTGACGCTGGTACAGCTTCTTCCTGAAAGAATACCTAGTTTTGTAACTTAGATTTGCTACATTTCAGAAGCTGTAAGCATATAAGAAGGGGAGGACAGGAATTTACACAAACCCTCAATTTCCACATGAAACTTAACCCCATTTCTCCTATTGCCTTTCATAAAATTTATCTGTTGCGTGGTGTTAACTTGAATTACTGTAGGGATTAGAAGGTAATATGGGTCCGGTTCTTAGTTCATCTCACTTCTTTGGTTTATAGAGGTGCAGCTCTCCTGGATTTATATCTGATTTACACCAGGGCAGATGGGAGCAAAGTCAGGCCTATTGTTTTTACACTCTGCTTTTGACAGTGCTGAGAATCTTCATGCTATAAAAGTGTCCACACTGCGCCGTCTTCCATCTGCATTGCATATATTGTAACTGTCATGCTGGTTAGGAAAAGCTGATATTTTTGGCAAGCTTTCCTTCTTGTACAACTCCACATAGAGCATCACAGCATAAAAAATAGCAATGGATGGGAAAAAAATATCTGACTCATGGGAAATTCACATACTTGTTTTATCCCATGTCAGAGCGGAAGAGGAGAGTACCAATTTCTCCCCCAGTAGAAAAAAAGGTGTTATCAGATTTCAATTAGTTCTCATCCAAATGTAAGGAGTATCCTGAGGCACTGGGACACTTCAGTCACAGGAGGCTCAGATTAATTTCTTATAACTATAGTTGTCAAAAGGTTGTCTTCTGAAATGAGTAAAGAGAAGGATGAGCCTGTCTAAAGTGCAAGTCATTTCATTCTAAACACCACAGCTCAGATACAACAGATCACTGCATGTTTGGAGATATTTTGCTCTCTGGACTGACTAGATAAGGAACCCAGACATGCCATTTGACTAACTGCTTGCCCTCCAAATTTTTTCTTGGAGATAGTGTTCAGCTGAGGAGAAGACGAGGTCACAACAGACTCAGAACTGCAGCTTCCATGAGATACACCCTGGGCAGCCCAGAGTGCAGAGCTGATGGGAAGTATTTTATCCTCATTTTCCTGGCAAAAAGGTCTTCTAAACCCAACCATTTCCCAAGGAAGACTTTTGAAAGAGATGACTCCTTGCCTTCTCATGGGAAAATTTTTCACTCAGAAATTAAGAAACAGCCTCAAGAAGTTAAAAAAATATAGCAGCAAGTTGTTTGCTAATGAAGCATGCAAGTGGAAGCTGATAGATTGAAAGCTGTAATAGTCTCAGCTTCCATAGCCGAGATTTATGAGGGCCTTTTCTTTCACACTGGCACTGACTTTACCCATGCAAAATTTAGACAACCAATCTAAGCAATATTTGAGCTTCTTCCATCTTCAGTGTAGAGACACAGGCACCACTACAGAGATACTCATCTCATTGCTCTTACAACTGTTAAAATCTGAGGAATTTAGATGGCTGTAAGGGAGATAGATACAGCTAATGTATTTGCACCATTTTAATTCCACTTAAATACTTGAGTCATTCCCACCATCAGTTTAGAAAATGGTGTGAATGGATAAGCTACCCAGCACAAGCTGAGTTTCCCAGCCCCAGAAGAGGCAGAGAACAGCTCTTTATTCCCAAAGATTTTCCCACAAATGAAGAGGGTCAGGGAGAAATGGAATGAGAGGGACATAGAAATGTTCTTGATAAGATCCACTAACTACAGCTGAGAAAAGTCCTTGATTACAATACATCAACGTTACTATGTTAAGAAAACCTTCTAGTTCCAGACATGGTGTAGTCTTCGATTTCAGTGGATCAGATTTGGGTAGATTTTCATATGACAGCTAAAGGCTACACGTGAAGACATTTTCCAGCCAATTTTAAAGCCTTTGTTTCAAAAGAACAGATTCACTAGGAATATGGAGAAAGAACAGCTTCAGTTCAAATAATGAAAGTCTGGCTAGTGAGTACTGTGATGGGAAGCACCCAGGGATTTCCATAGCAGCACTGGTGCCAGTCTCCTCATGGTAGCAGTCTAGAGGCTGGGCAATGCTTCTTGGTGGCTGTAAAGTTTTACTGAGCCTGCAAACCAACCTCTGCATTTAAAGCATGCTAACATGGGGTGCAGGGAGATGGCAGGAGGGGATCTTGTCAACACATCTGTAGTATGCCCAAGGGGAGAACAGCAGTAAGGTAGGAATTTGGGAAAATACGCAGTAAGGCAGTCTGGGTTTTGCCCCAAAACACTGTGCCTGCTTCATGGTGTCAAAAGTAGAAAGAGATAAAGACAGACCTGTAGATCACTGTTGATTCTTTAAAAGGGTTTGTGTGCCATGCCACGTGCTCCCATTTTATTAGCACGCTAAGGAGGGACACGTGGGAGCTCGCGTCCTTGCAAGATGGGTTTTCAGTAAACACTGATTGCTGCCCTCTGACTGAGACTAAGAGTTTTCACCCTCAGTGACCCATAAACACATGCCCTGGGACCCTTCCCCAGGGAATTCCAAATGACTTTACCGACTGACTGAAGTGAAAAAGCAAAGAGGCCTTATGGCTTCAAAGCCTGTGAATATAATTTCTACGCACAGCAGAAAGTTCAGGCACTGTTTATCCTGCTCTGCCCAGGGCTTGCTCTTTTTGTTTTGCACTGAATTTCTTTCCTGTTAGACATTGTTCACAAAGCCGAAGTTTTCTTTGGAACGGCAAATGGGAAAGGACCACCTGGGTTAGGAATTCCTGTCTTCTGGAATTGCAGGCTGCTGTGCCAGTTTCATCTTTTTTTTTTTCTTGGAAAAGAAGAACATGGTGCTGCCTGGAATGTGTAGAAATGCTCTTCCTTTTTGCTGCTACTTGCAGATGGACCCAGAGGGTAACCTCCTTCCAGAACAAGATGTATTGTACTGCAATGGCCAAGGCCTCTTCCTATTCCTACCAGGATCAGGAGGTGGCAAAAAATAAGTTACCAGTAGATGCACCTAATCATGGCAAGGCTAGGAGGTAAGTCCTACCAAAGGCAACAGTCAGTCTGGTATTCAACCACAGACCTCTGTAATCCCAGGGAAAGAAGGTAGGTATGAGGGAGGAGGAGGATTAAATCTGTGGCACTTGTGTAACCCTACGGGCAACTCCTGGTGAGCATATGGAGAAGTAGAGAGATGCCCATGTAAGCTGCCATGGTCATGTCTGTGTCTTGTCACAGCCAAGGAGTGAGGCCACAGCACAGGCATGTCAAACACATTGTCAGAAGGCGCTGAAGTGGCTGGGTTTATTTTAATCTGGAAATGTGGCCCTCGCTGCCTTTTATGATGTGCCAGTCTAAGCTGCCTCTGGCAGCTGTGAGAATATTGGTTTTGGCAGACAGCTGCAAGGAGCAGCAGACTGGAAGGAGTCAGCAGCAAATGTGATAAAAGGGGAAAGTTGCTGACGCCAGGAGGAAAAGCACAAGGTCCTGCTGATTCCCAGAAACCCTTCAGGAGCTGTGAAGAAGAGGAGGTCTCCTCTGACACTGGGATGAACGGGCAGAAAATGACTAACCCCCTCCGTTGACTTAAGTTGAATTGCGCCACAACACACGCAAGATGTCCCACTAGCTGGAGAAGAAGTATGTTCCAAAGGAGAAGGTCAGAACTGATTGGAGATGCCAGGGAAAGATTTCTCTCCTTACCTGGCATTGGTATGAATTGATCCTCTTTAATACAAAGGTCTGTGTCCTGGCCACCAGTAAAACATAGACATTTGTGGGACCTGAAGGTGTCCAAACTAAAGGTTAAAACCATGTGTGCAATCCAGTCAGTGCTATATTAACAGGTCCAGCATTTCCCAGCACTAGAGTTTTATTGCAACCCTCCCCCATCTTACAATTACAATCCTCCTCCTCTCTGGTTTAGGGGATGGGTTTTCTTTTGCCAACTAGATAAAAAGCTCTTTGGGACCATGATTTTTTAGTGTGTTTTGTGCTCACAAGGAGGGTGGGATCTGCAAAAGATCCCAAGCTCTTGTGTCTTTTAAACAGTGATGATGATAATATAAATGTCAGAGGCATTCCCAAAGTTCCTTTTTTAACCATCTGGCTGTAACGGGAAGGCTCAGAGGTGGTCTCAGAGAGTAGATCCCTGGAAGGAGAAAAAGCTGAGATGCCAACTTGAGGGTCCAAGCTGCATTTTATTTTATCATTACAGTTTCCAGTTATATTCAGAAATGAGAGGAACTGGTTTTTCAGTCAACCTGCAGCTCAGATCACCTCAGAACAGGAGGTTTTGATGCAGCAGGTGAAGTGCACAAGGCTGCTAGCTGGAAACAAATATTCCTGGGCAGTATTGCAATGATGCAATTAAAGGGAACACAACATCCATGACGCAGGGCAGGATTCTTCAGAAAACAAATTGAAAGAGCTGAGTTGGTTGTTTGGCCTTTTCTCAAGGCCCAAGATGATTTTTTTTCAACAGAATTTATCTTTAGTATGAATATGGAAGACTTCTGTTTAAGAGAGTCATATCCAGCACAGCAAAATCCTTGGCCAAAGGACTGCTTCCCCTGTGACTGCCTGGGTTGCACTCGAGTGCCCAGCACCTGGATGGACACAGCAACCAAGTGTAGGATCTACCCATAAGCTCACTGTAGCCTGCCCTGGGCACATCAGTGCTCTGGCCTCTTTTGAGCTACAGTTATCACTTGAACTAGTTACCATGGTGAACTAGTCAATGTTTCAGCTTTATTAATAAATAAACAAAAGGCAGAATCTACTTTGCTGTCAACATGCCCTGCAGAGGAGCAAGGAAATGCAGGGATTGCTCTGCATGATCCCCTGCACAAGAACGAGACTTAAGTTTCTCCTGGATAGACCCTGATCATTTGGGTTTGACTAAATCAGTTCCACTGGAATATTTTGCCCGTAACTCTGTGTGTTCCCTTTTAATACCCAGTAGCTCAAATTTGTTTTCTATTGCATTTCCTATACCTAATCAGGGCCAGCCAAAGAGAGTGCTGGAGGGATCATCTCAGATGCTGTTCTTTTAATTTCAGTGGAAGGAAAAGTCAAAACCAATGTGGTGTAAAAGCTTTTAGTCGCAATACTACTACCTTAACTTTGCAAACTGAAGACCTTTAGGGGAGAGCCAGATAAGTCTCTGAAGCATATATAGCTTATCTAAAACAAAAGTGCACTCTGAACCTATCTGAGATATGCCTGTGACTAGCTTTCAGAGAGGAATTTACAAGCCTGAACAGTTTATAGCCAAAACAATTTTCCAAGAAATAAATGGAGGAACAAAAATTTGCCTCCTTTCTTCAAAACTCTGCACCAAGACTTGTGCTGAAATAATTATCTTCCCTTTAAAGTTGCATTTACTCAGAGACGTACAGGTTGTGAAAAAGCATCCCAGATTTATATAATAGACACCTTGTATAGAGAGGAACACCATAAAATTAGCCACCTCCAGTGTGTTATATCTGTCACTTCATGGTGATTCTGGGAAGTATATTTAGGAATATAATAGATGTGGTAAAGTTTGTTGCTTATGTTATAATATCAGAGTACTTTGCTGAAATGTTCGCTAATGCACAGATGGAAATAACATTCATACCACAAGTTAAAGACTTGCTTGGTGGTTTTCATATAGTTAGGCACACTTGCCAAGCATCCTTTTTTCCCAACAATTTCTGATTTTTGAACAGTTGATTTTAATAAAATAAAAATCCCTATTTTGACCTGACAGGAAAACTATGTCCCCACATATTTTTCAAAGGCAACCAGCTTCCTGAGGGATTTTGCTTATAGGTCTCATTCTAATATTTTTTTATTAGAATTCTACTTTAAAAATTGAAGAATAAAAGAAAAAAAAAAAGCAACACAAGCAGAGCAAAGAAAAGGAAATAAAAACATTTCATGCCATTGACCAGCTTGAGCTGACTGTTGTTACCTAATCTCTCCATATTTCAACGTTGAGTCCTGATGTCTGTGGCTGAGTTGATGTTATGTCAGTAAACTTCAGGTGATCTGGTCCATGACATGCTGTCGCCACTTACTAGTGGTGTAACAGCAATGCCACACCACTGGAAGTCTGAATTGTGCCTGGTGGTACATGTGCACCTTGAGATAAAAAGTTCTTCCAGCTACAAAGGTAGGTGGCAGGAAGAAGACAGTATGATGGTGGCTCCGTAAAAGAGATGACAAAGATGATGAGAAGGCCAGAAAATTGAACTTGTGTGAAAAAGATTGACAGAACTTGGATTGTTTAGTCTAGAAAAAAGACAACTGTGAAACAGTCATGATAACAGGCTTCAAATATTTCTAAGACTGCCACAAAGAGGGGGGTAATGAACTCTTCTCTATATCCGCTGGGGATAAGGCAAGAAGTAATGGACTTAAATTGCAGTAGTGGTGGTTTGGGTTAGACAGGAAGAAAACCTTAAGAGGAAGGAAAAAGCCACAGGAATTGATTGCCTGGGAAGGATTTCAATTCTCTACCACTATAGGTCTTTAAAAGCAGGATGGAGGAAGATACAGCTGGTGACATCTCTCAAGATGTTCAGCTCTATAGCAGGCTTTCTGATTTTCCTGGTAGAGAACACAAACTGACGGCACAATGGGTAACCGAGAGCAGGAGTAGAAGTCCAGTATCGCAAGTTTATCAGCTTACTGAGGGAACAAAGAAGCGTCAGGGAATAATATTAAAAATAAATAATTACCCCACTGCATGATATCAAATAGAAAACAAACCAAAATTGATCCAAATCTTTACATTTTTACTATTTAGGAGTTGTGCTCCTATGTGCTCTTAATGAAAGCAGGCCGAACCCCCAAAATCTACAATCGCAAAGAATTCCATTATTTTGAAGTACCTTTATTCAGAATCAGCATCAAGGTAATGTATTCCATTCAATGCTGAAACATAATGTCAAGTATGAATGGATGCACATATTAATGTACTGTAATAACTGATGTGAACTATATGTTTGTCCTGGCTTCAGCTGGCATAGAGTTAATTTTCTTCCTACTAGCTGGTACTGTGCTGTGTTTTGGATTTAGTATGAGAGTAATGCTGATAACACACTGATGTTTTAGTTGTTACTAAGTAGTGCTTACCGTAAGTCAAGGGCTTTTCAGTCTCTCATGCTCTGCCAGTGAGGAGGGGCACAGAAAGCTGGGAGGGGGCAGAAACAGGACAGCTGACCTAAACTAGCCAAAGCGGTATTCCATGCCATAGAGCATCATGCTCAGTATAGAAACTGGAGGCAGTTGGCCAGAAGGGGCTGATCGCTTCTCAGGGACAGGCTGGGCATTGGGCTGTGACCGATTGTACTATGCATCATTTGTCTTTCTTGGGGTTTATTCTTCTATTATTATACTATTTATCATTAATATTATTGTTATTATTATTATCATTACTACTACTATTATTATTATTATTATATTTTACTTTATTTCAGTATTGCAGCTGCATGGTACTTGGTTGCCAGCTGGGGTTAAACCACGACAATGTTCAAACAAGAAATCGGAACATTATCACTGACACAAAACATTTAAACATTTAAAGAACAAAGGGAAAGAAATCAAAATGATTAGTTGCTATTCCTCTCATGCCAAAAATGTAGTTGTTACAATCAGAATGCTTTGCTGAGCCAAGCTGGCTTCAAAGTTGGCTGTTTCAAACATGAAACTTTGCACTGATGTTTTTTGAGCAGCTCTATTCATGTATTTTCCATTATTCCCATTCTCTTCCTCTCTAGAACAAAATCAGAAGGGCCAGAAAAAAAATCCCACGAGGAAAAGCTTCTCTAACTGGAAGCTGGGTTACCTGATATAACCCCAAAGGACCTGCTCCTTTCACATTTCCAATCAGTGAAATTACTGAGTGGTCATGTGTTTATTTTTGTATCAACCTCTTCAATACAATGAAGTCAGCTTACCCCTCTGAAAAGGCAAAGAACTGTGGTGATATCCATTAAACATTCTTCGTTTAAAACATATGCGGGAAACATGATGAGCAGAAATGTCTGCATGTGGAAGCCTCACTCACATTTGTCTGTCTATGTCTGTGGTATCTTGTCCTTCACAGACAACCCCAGAAAAGCTAATGCACTATAGGAGCAGCATTTTATCTTAATGTCTTTTATCTGTCCACCTCTTCAACTAGATGCGACAGCTGGCCATTAAAAGCCTGATTTAAGAGAGATGGTTTGAGTCATGTATCAAGGAGTGATAAATGCTGGCGTTAGTAAAAAAGATCCAGAGCTTCCCAGAGTGAGCATGGCCAAGCACTCAGCATAAAGAGTAGTAGTGGGAGAGCCTGAGGACTAAAACTAGAGGTCCTGCCCGGATAGTGCCTGGAGGAATCCCTCACTGGCTTTGCTAATGGAGTAGCTATTCTGCAAAATAATTGCATTGCTCAACCACACCTTCCACAGCCATTAAATGCACTTCAGAATGATTCCATTGAAGACATACCTCGCATGTAGCACAGAATGTACAACACAACTCTTAAGTTGCTGCTATTGCTCCAAGGGTCTGATTGGCATAATGTCAAAACATTTTATAACCTAACAGGTTGCCAAATACTTTCCAATTAAACTGTTCCTTGCATAACACCAAACAATCAGGTTTATAGTTTTTAATCTAACACTGCATCTGGTTTAAAGGTCTGTTTAAATATCAAAATCTTCTGATCATGCAATGGCAGCTGAAAGCTGATGATGGGACCCTTCACCCATCCTTACTGCAGTGTCTGGAGAATTCATGCTGCTTCTGTATATTCCCACCCTCAGTGAATTCATGACATTTGTGCACAAAATTTGTGCACTACTGATCCATAGTGATCAGTAAAATTTGATCAGTCTATTGGAACTATAATTTATAGCAAATTTCAAACAACCAGTGGAGGAACTGAAACAAGTTACATCTATGGCAACCAAAGGGTCAGGTTCAGCAGCGTATTTATTCAGTGAAACTTCTCTTTTCTGTTCTAAATTGCTCCAAAAAGGTCTTTGCAGCAAAAAGGTCTTTCTATTGTTACTTGTCTGTCTTTTCACAAAGGTAATCATGCAGGTAGAGGTTTAAGTCAATGTGGAAGGCAAGCCAGCACACCAAACCATAAAGAAAACAATGGTTGGTAGAACAGCTCGGCATGTAACTGGAAGAGACAATGCCTCTACAACCAGCCAGGCCCAGCTCTATTTATGCAGGTGTAAAAGGTCTCTTGCCATTGGAAATAGTGTGCAGTCATTGTATTACACATTCTTTCCTCTGTCGGCATCCTGTTTAAACAGGCTGAGTGCAAAGGGGTGTCTGCTATTCATTTGCAGATGCCTTGTGATGATATGAAACATAATTGTATAATTTATGCCGAATAAACCAAGAAATGGCTGCTGTTCAAGGGAAGGAGCAAGGCCCCAAAGTACTTGAAATATTGGAGCAGGAAGAAAAGATAACACAGCCTGATCTTTTTGTTGCCTCTTTCGTTAAGGCTGCTTTTGTACAGGGGGAGAGGAAACGGTTAGCAAAAGAATGTGATTCAGATGTGCTTGGATATTGCTGGAAGTGAGAGAAGCACAATGGCTTTGTAAACCTATTGAGTAACTCCACCAAAGCCAACGTAGTTGC